TGTGTAGTTTTTCTTGTGGAAGGGATGTTGAGGCAGAAAGGCAAGAGATGTATGGGATTAGTTAAAGGGATTGCAACATACTGTTTCCATACAGCAGTTTACAGTGAATAGAGGAAATAATGAAAGCATGAATGGATTATGGTGTTGTAGCTATGCTATGTATTATGTTATATTTAAAATTGATGCTCATGTTCTTGCTGTTTCAGTGACCAAGGATGTTTGCTACAGTGACCTGATTTTTTTTATGTGTTATGCATCTTGGTATTATTTATTTTTATCTTGTGAAAATGCGTAGCAAGCAAGCATTCAGCTGAAAGATTCTTTGGGACAGTGGGTAAGGTGGATCATCTTCGAATAGGATAGTTTTATGAGACTACCAGTCAGAGCATGTTTAACATATTCAATAAAACATTCTTTATGGTGTTGTTTTTGCTGTTGTTGGATTACCTGTGGGTATACTAGGTTCAGATGCTACTGGTTCACATTTTTTTTTATGTCATTTCCTTGTAACAGCTGTAATTGTTCAGACTTAAGAACTTATGTTGATAATTTTCTTGCTTTTGAGATATTATTTTCTCCTGTCTGATCCTTTTTTTTTTTTTTTGGGATATTGGATCTTTCAGACTCCTCAAACCCCAATTGTACGCACAAAAGCTTATGAGAAGTACTGTGTTGATGACTATCCATTAGGAACAAATGCAATTGTGGCAGTTTTGGCTTATTCAGGGTAAGAGTTCTGTACCATGCCTTGTTTTTTTTTTCTGTCAGCGGAAACATAAAATACATACCTTCATGTTATGCAGATATGACATGGAGGACGCTATGGTCTTAAATAAATCATCTGTAGATCGTGGTATGTGTCATGGGCATATATACCAGGTAATATTTGACATCTTTTTGAACTTTGGTTTGATACAGAAACAATTTTTTTGTTCAACCTATCCCCCCCCCCCCCCCCCCCCCCCCCCCCCCCCCCCCCCCCCCCCCCCCCCCCCCCCCCCCCCCCCCCCCCCCCCCCCCCCCCCCCCCCCCCCCCCCCCCCCCCCCCCCCCCCCCCCCCCCCCCCCCCCCCCCCCCCCCCCCCCCCCCCCCCCCCCCCCCCCCCCCCCCCCCCCCCCCCCCCCCCCCCCCCCCCCCCCCCCCCCCCCCCCCCCCCCCCCCCCCCCCCCCCCCCCCCCCCCCCCCCCCCCCCCCCCCCCCCCCCCCCCCCCCCCCCCCCCCCCCCCCCCCCCCCCCCCCCCCCCCCCCCCCCCCCCCCCCCCCCCCCCCCCCCCCCCCCCCCCCCCCCCCCCCCCCCCCCCCCCCCCCCCCCCCCCCCCCCCCCCCCCCCCCCCCCCCCCCCCCCCCCCCCCCCCCCCCCCCCCCCCCCCCCCCCCCCCCCCCCCCCCCCCCCCCCCCCCCCCCCCCCCCCCCCCCCCCCCCCCCCCCCCCCCCCCCCCCCCCCCCCCCCCCCCCCCCCCCCCCCCCCCCCCCCCCCCCCCCCCCCCCCCCCGGAAATACAAATACAAAATACATCTTACTGAACTATGATATTTTCCTTTTGATACGACATTGATGGAGTTTTAAGTTTTTGAGTACCAATGATTTGTCTATGACACAAGTTTTCAGAAGGATGATTCTCATCAATTCAAAACCTTCTTTCTGAGACCACACACAACACCATGAACTTTGATGCTTGATGGTCTTTTTGTTTCTCTTCTTTAACGGAGGGTCGGAGAATGAAAACCAGATCTATCTCTGTTCTTTTTCCTAATTTGGGTTTTTGGATTCTTCTATAATTAATTCCTCCCTTGCTAAACTGCTTATCCTACTACTCTTTGTGGAGGGAGTTTTCTGATCTTTCATGTGGACGTCTTTTATTGACCAATATATGATCTTCTGATTTGCAGACAGAAACCATTGACTTGACTGAGCAAAGCGCCAAATCTGATCGTGCTCAGAGATTGTTTAGAAGAAGCAATTTGGATAAGTCGTCTCATCAGCTGATTGATACTGATGGTCTTCCATACGTGGGACAGGTAACAGGATATTTTTTTCCTATTTTTTTGGTGAGTCAAGTTGCACCTGAACCAACATGATCATTTGATTGCAGAGGATTAATCCCAATGAGCCATATTGTAGCATTTACAATGAAATAACCAGTCAGACAACTAGTATGAAGTTAAAGGGTTCGGAGCCTGTTGTTGTTGATTATGTTGCTGTCGATGTGAAAAATAAAACACATCTGCAGAAGGTGAGCAATTCCTAGATATATTTGACTCTGTTGTTACTTTTACTGGGTTTCTAATCCACTTTGCTGTTGTTATCCTCTTTGTTAGGATATATAAGTTGGTGTAATTCTTTCATCTTTTGCTTTCTATTTCTCTTGAACTCAATGTCAAGTTTTATTTAGCCTAGATGACTAATCAGTGAAGTCTCTGTTGTTTGCTATAAGATCTTCGTATTATTGCCTGGTCAATATCTCTCTTTATTTCATTGTATCAAGGTAATTTGATGTTTTCTTGAGTATTCATGTTCTTCAGGGGTTTTTGGTTCTATTTACTGTCTTTTCTGTCTTCTAAAGTATGGGATGATTCCTTTGATGCTGCACTTGTAGGTTTATTGTGCTTGTCAAATTTTGCAACTATATCAGTTTTTTTTTTGTTGTCGGTGTAATAACAGAAATTTTGGTAGTTCATGATGGACAATCCTCTCTTCGCTACAAAATTTACTCTGGTGTCATGACTTCAAAAAGCTTCAAATTTATCAACTTATTTTCATTTGTTCTGGGCAGGCGAATATACGTTTTAGGCGCTCCAGGAATCCTGTAATTGGTGATAAATTTAGCAGCCGACATGGGCAAAAGGGTGTTTGCTCTCAATTATGGCCTGATGTTGATATGCCCTTCTCAGCAGTTACAGGAATGAGGCCAGATCTTATTATTAATCCTCATGCTTTCCCTTCAAGGATGACGATTGCTATGCTGTTGGAGTCAATTGCTGCTAAGGTCTGTTTTCTCTTCTGCGGCTTATGGTGTTATTTATTTCAAGCAAAAGTATTTTGGTTACGAGATTGTAGCTCTCCAGACAATAATATATTCAAGTAGTTTTTGTGGTAGTTTATATTTGTTTATTGGGTGATGGCTTTATATGCTGAAGATATCTCTCGCTTATGGAATATATTGTTCATCTAGCTTGACATGGATGATCACAAGAACTTATATATATATGCTATCTTCGAACAGGGAGGTGCTTTACATGGGAAGTTTGTTGATGCAACGCCGTTCTCTAACACAATGAAGGAATCAGAATCGGAATCCAGTTCACTGGTGGATGACCTTGGTTCCATGTTAGCGGTTTGTGGCTTCAATCACCATGGTACGGAAGTACTATATAGTGGAGTATATGGGACAGAACTGACTTGTCTAATATTTATTGGACCTGTTTATTATCAGCGTCTGCGACACATGGTTTCTGATAAATTTCAGGTTAGTATCACCTAGATATTAGAGTGAATGATCCTGTCTATTCTTCCTGCCCGCTTTGACCCATTTATGCTGATTTATGTTTTCATCTAGTGTAGCAAACATTGACTCTGTTTGATGAATAGCTGTTTACATAACCATCTCCTGTGCTCGACTCTGATGTGAACTGTTAAGTTTGAAAATTGGAAGCTAAAACAAGAAAAGAACGCAATGTTCGTGCTCATCATTGACTTCCAAATGAAACCAAGATCAAGAAATGCTTCCACTACCTAGTTTTCCTTTCCTGCTTGAATAATTCATTTATTACTTTATTTATCCTTACGCACTCTGGGGTTGACAGATATCATGCTAATGGGTCTCTTTTTTCCCATTTAACCCCACCCACTCCCAAAAAGGAAACAGATTCAGTTCGATAATTGAACTTCCAAGTATTACTTTATATATCCTTATTCCTTGTCAGGTTAAATTCGGTACTGAATTTGGCTTGTATTGCTGTACAGGTCCGTTCTACTGGACAGGTAGACCATATCACTCGGCAGCCTATCAAAGGGAGAAAGCGTGGTGGAGGTGTCCGCTTTGGTGAAATGGAACGAGATTCACTCCTTGCTCATGGAGCAGCATATTTGCTGCATGATAGACTCCATACAAGCTCAGATCATCACATTGCAGATGTGTGCTCTGAATGTGGAAGTGTCCTAACATCATCTGTTATTCAGCCGCCAAAACGAGCAGTGCAAGTGATTTTGAAACAGCTACCTGCTAGAGAACCCAAAAAGGTTACTTGTGTTGCTTGTCGTTCAAGTAAAGGAATGGAGACTGTTGCAATGCCTTACGTGTTTAAATATTTAGCGGCTGAACTGGCAGCCATGAACATCAAGATGACCCTCAAACTAAGTAACGAGGCTGGAGCTTGATACACATTTCTGGCAGTTGGAATATTCTACTGCCTTGAAGCAAGCAGGGAGCTTGATTACCATTTCATCTGTACCTGTACTTTCTCAATGTGCAATATGTCCAAAAAGGGGTTTGCAGCATCAGATAACGGGATTCTGGCAACAGTGATTTGGTTTAGACATCGGAAGGCCAGTTTCCTAGTGGGCTACCAAGAAAGAAAGTGTGCTGCAAACAAGACCCGCTGCTTTTCATCTCATAATGCAGGAGGGGTCAAAATATAGAGATATCTCATCAGTAAGAATCCCGAGTTTTAAAGGTTTGCTGTCTGGCTCAAGAGGGTGCAACACCTTCCCTTATGATGATGGCCATGTGAAGTATAGACTAAAATATAGAACTGTGTTTTTTGCTTTATTTGTTATAGCTTTTTGTACATTGTGGGGGCTATATGGTAGGTATCATGGTTGAGGCTCTAGTGAAGGCAATGTTTTTGTTCTTCCCAGTATATACTTCTAATTCACTTTCATGAGATAAATTATTTTGGCCATACAGCAACTTGTATTTAAATTAAAGGCTATCTTCTAACCTGATGTAGTGACCGAGAGCTAAATCAAGAGTAAATTCATATATTGTCTTGGAATTTTACATAAAACTGCAACTTATAAAAAGGATTAACCATGAAAATGATTATTATGAAATACCGACTGGAAAAATAAAAGTAGAGCTGGACTTTGAGCCTCTTGCATCACAGCATGCTATCTGTTCTGGCTGGTAATCTCTTGAAGAAGTTGCTGGGAACAGGAGGCATCTTGCTTCTGAACCTAGGGTGCCTCAACATATATAACCCAGCAACTAAAGCCACCACTCTGAAGGGAGTCGCATAAAGCATAACTGCAGCAAAAAGACTGAACATGATAAACAAGCTTGTTGCTCTTGGATCTCTCCAGCTTAGCACCCCCTGCAGCCTCTCTCCTTGTGTTGCTATGTCACCGACCACGGTCTGAATCCTCCCAGCCACACTTCTCAGCCTATCGTACCTCATTCGAACAATGTCGTGGGGTCTAGACGTTGGAAACGTGTCGAATTCTTCATCAAGCTCATCAGGGTGAGCTGTTTCTGCCCATGAAAGCTTAGTGTCCATGTGAGGAGGGTGCCTTGGCCGGAACCGATAGTTCCACAGTCCAATGAGGAACATATAGAGAAACAAAGTTGGAAGAATCAACTCCGGATACCAGATCAGTATTAGGAAGAGGATGTGAACCAAGACTGAGGTGACTGGATTTTTCCAGTGACATATATCACCAAACCATCGATTAACAGAGATTAAGCCTGAAAGAAGTGACATGATCCTAAAGAAATTAGCCTTGCTTCTTCTCATACTCCACATGTGGGAATCCACATCTAGCATGTACTCTACAACTTCTTTCCTGAGTGGTGGTTCAGCTCTAGCAAGTCTAACAGCAACAATGCTCATAGCTTGGTACCTCAAGTTGTCTACTTGGTTGACAGTAAAGGGATGAAGGTAGTGCATTTTGGGAAGCAAAGGGTGGCCATAAGTATGTATCATGTTGGCTAAAGAGAGGCTTGTGAATCTTACTGCCAATTGGAGTTCCCCCATTTTCTTAACCCCTGATGGGTGCAGAACAAGAAGGGGATAAGAATGAGTGTAAATTCGATGAGATTCTAACGTTGATAATCTTATACGTACCTTCCCTATTCGTGAGTCTCGTGCTGCTCCAGTCCCTTGCTTCTCAACTCCCAAATGACAGTTATCAAAGACACCCAATGTGATAACTGTGGATGGATCATAAACTTCCCAAGTGTATTGCTCATTCCATTTGGGGCTGAAAGTGTCAAGAATGGTTCTTGTCCTTACCCATTTCTGACCATATTTAGCCACACAATAGGCATCTGTGCTTCCTCTGCTGTCCTTCATCTTCATTGGAAGAAGCCCTTCTGCACCTAATATGCCAACTTCCAATATTCCCACCGGTGGTTTCCACAGCTGTCGTGCTGTTGGCCTTTGATCACTTATGTACATGGTTGACTCATCCAGCACGTGATATCCCCCTTCAAGGCATACTCTGAGGTGAACTCTGCTTGAAAACTTGAGCTCTTTCCTCCTGTCAACTTCCAAGGAACCAAAACCAAACTTCTCAAGGTTGAACCAGCGAGAATGGACCGGCCTGTGGTCAAGCCTCTTCTCGAATGTGTTGAGTGGGAAACTTATCTTTCCAAGAATCTCATCTTTCATTGGGTGAACACGGTCCTCAATGCTGAGGACTAGCTGCTCCTCAAAAGGCTCAGCAGCTACAAAAACCAAATCCTCATTCCACATTGGATTTGCTGTTCGAGCAGGGCATATATCGGTTTTGAGCACCTGATTTCCCACCTGGGCTTTCACAAAAACTTCAGGGAGACGGCTCTGGTCATTTGGGATGATGTCTTGAGCTTCAATAACATTTACTCTCAGGTACCAAAGTTTTGGAGAGACATAAACTTTGGACCTGACGCTCATTACCCCCTCTCCATGAACAAAGGCAGCATCTGCATGCCAGGCATCTGAAAATGCTTCATCTGCTTGTGTTCCCATCCAAACAGCAAGCATGATCTCCCCTGTTACTTTCCTTTCTCCTCGTCGATCCTCCAGTCTGTACCATTGAGGAGCCAGGGGACTATCAGGAGGAACTCTTGTTGGGACCTCATTCAAGTCAAAAACCACCCTTCCAAAATTATCATCTCTTCCCATCATATCTTTATCCTTCACATAAACTTCAAGAACTGAAGACTGAATTCGATCTTTAGAGAAAGCAAATACCTGGTTCCACTCTGGATTCATTTTCTTATCAAAATGCTTTGTCCTTCCTTTGTAATTCCCCATCTTCACCTCCACATATGGGTCACAGCTACCGGTGAGGACACTTGGTTGAAGATCTTTGGACTTAACCACTCGAACATAAAGATAAAACATCTGCTCCACAAGGTCATATGTGCTTGCATGTCTATCACTGTTCATCCATCCTCTTCCTCCGTAACCTCCACCACGTGGCCATTGCTCACCAAGCTGAGGATTCGTGTCCTTCAGCTCATAGTCATCTTTAGGGTGGTTATGCATAGTTCGGGGTTGGTCTACTTGATACTGCATTGGCAGTTGGACACCTGGCTGGCCATGAATAGCTCGGGGGTGGTCTACTTGATGCTGCATTGGCAGTTGGACACCTGGCTGGCTATGAATAGCTCGGGGGTGGTCTACTTGATGCTGCATTGGCAGTTGGACACCTGGCTGGCTATGAATAGCTCGGGGGTGGTCTACTTGATGCTGCATTGTCGGTTGGAAACCTGGTCTCTTCCTTATTGATATGACTGGTTGCTGCATAGCTTGATGCTTGAATACAAATTGAGATCTTTCTTCAATGTGCTCAACTGATTCTGTGGCCTGCTCACTTGGAGTAAGATGACCAGTTTTTTCTACTACAGCAAAGCTTGAAGACTGATCAGCAGCAGAAATTGCAGTGTTTTCAGTCTTTTGTACTTCTGAACTTTTACTAGCTTTAGGAGTATCAAGACTAGAATCTTCAGAGGCAGGAAGTGAAGGTGGTGGATTATCTAAATGTTCTGGATTTTCGATGGACGGGATATTTGAAGGACTAGAAGATTTTGGGGTTGGCTGGATAGAAGATTTTTTAGGATATAAATTTGGATCAGATGGTGATGAAATATATATTTTGAGGCCAATCTCTCCTTTAACAAATGAGGAAAACCATTTCTTTTCAAGTTGGAATCTTTGATAAACTTCTTCCCCTTTCTTGACTATATTTGAGCAAGGAATTCTCACCCTTCCAAGAAAGTTTCTCCCTGGTATAGGCCTTCTCTCATGATACACAGAAACATCAATGTATTTGTATCGATGATTTTTGATATCGTCAAGATGGAAAATTAGTTTATGGTTCCAAGTGGGGTTGAGATTTTTTGGGACAGTTCTAGTTTTGCTAAGTTGGTTTTCAAAATCAACTTCAACAAATGCACTTACTGATCCTTCACCATCTTTTGGCATAAGATCATAAGCATCTATTACTTCTACTATTAGCTTCATATCTCCCTCCCTTTTTGTTCTTGTTTTTGCCACCAAGAAATAACTCTTTTCAAGATATCTCAAGACTCAAGTCTCAAGCAACCAGATTCTAATATTTAACAAAGATAGTTTCATAGTAGTAAGTTAAAGGAATGAAGTAAATAACTTTGTATTTGTTGTTTTTAGTGTAGTATATGAAGGTGCATTCTACAAGAAAAGAATGATTTGATGAAGAAGCTGTTTAATAGTTTTAGAAAAATATTCTATGAAATAGAAATAGAGTGAAAGGAATAATTTTTTTTGTCAAAGTAGAAAACAAACTAACGGTACAATGTGATATATGCAGAGAAAAGAAGAGGAAAATGAGAAAAATATAGAAGAAGAATGAATTTGTTAATGTTTGCTTGAACAAGAAGCAGTACAGGTTCAAATAATAGTTTAACTTATATGTACTGACAATATGTATATCATCTCGTTAGCGTGACTTACAATAACATGTAACTGTCGATATAAGCCTACTATATTATATTGATCGTGTAAAAATTCTTTATATTGTTCAAACCAACTTAGGAAATCTTGGCAAAAAGTGAATGTTGATACTCTTCTAATGGTGTCAAACATACACTTTTGAATTAAGATATACTCTTGCTGGTTAATTTGTTCCACACTTCATTCTCTTTTTGCTTTTATTTGGTACTTTAAGCTAGAAATTGAGAACATTCTAGATGTAGATCCAATGTTTATTCTTTTCTTGTTTTATATTCTTGCTTTTAAAGTTGTTATGATTACCCCGACTGGAGTAAGTTTAACCGCTTTTAGGCAAGAGCTCCTCTCAAGAGCTATGGTTATCTCCAAAAAGATACTAAGATACTATCATATTGTTTAAAAGATAAAAGTAAAATTTATAACTTGGACAAACCCTCTTCAACATTTTTAAATGCATTGATAGTACGAAATTCTTTTGAGACTGACAGTGTATATAGGTTAATCTTGCAACAATCGGCAAAACATAGAAAAAAAGAAATAAAAATAAAAAAAACAAAAAGAGAAGAGAGAAGTTAAAAAGGAAAAAAGGAGAGTATAAAATGAAAATGCCTTACTTGGATCTTGTGATCTTTTAAGGCATTCCATTCTTGTTAGTAGAGCATGAAGAGAAGCATGTGAGGATCCAAATATGTCACACACTCAACTGAAGCCCAAAAAAAAAAAGAGGCTAAAGCAAGACACTAAAAATTCCCAAAGATGCCTTTTAATGCTTTATTCTTTTCTTAATCACTTCCATAATTACTTCCCTTACTTTGGACTAGAAAAAAGTTTGCATTTCCTTTAAAGAATTATTTCAATATTCACCTAGGTTATCTTAGTAATCATATAGAGGATTATAATTTTTATGGGTTTAATTTGTGATAATAATGTATACTAGCACATCTGATTGTTCCCTCTAGTTAAACTGAAATAATTATGTGATGAGGATGATGTGAATCTTTTGCTAATTGCTAATTGATACTTAAAAAAATTAATCTTTAGTGACAATTAATTAACGCTAGTAGCCTGCTATTTTTTTTTGTAGAGGCTATTAACACTCTTTTGTAAATGTTCCTAAAACTTATAATGACATTGAATGTAATGGTAATTAACTAATGTCGTTAAAGATTGTTAACGTGCATATTTTTTGTCGCTAAAAATATATATTTTCTTTTGGGGCCAAAATTTTATAGCAAAATCTAATTAATTTGTTTGACCTTGCTAGACCTAGTTCAATTTTTCATAAATATTTTAAATGATTGAATTCAATATTGACAAGTACAAATGGTCAAATTATTCCTTGTAAATAGTAGAATTCAATATTTAATTAAAATACTACTATTTTTAAGCGCAAAACAGGAATTAGTACTTCACCGCCAATTCATTCCAGGGAGAATTAGTTAGCTTAACTTTGATAATATTATGCAAACTCGCACTATAAATTATAGTACAATATATATATATATATATGGAGCTCATAAGTCATAACATGTCGCTATATCAAAAATATTTTTTAATGGTCATTGGTTAACGACAATAATTCTACTGTTGCTAAATATATTTTCTAGAGGCAACCAACTCTCTTATTAAATATTTCTAAAATTTACAATAACATTGATTTAATTGCAATTAACTAATATCGATAAAAACTTTAGTATTCTTATTTAACATGCATATTTATTGATGTCAAAAGCTATTTTTGTTATAATGTGTTAACTATAAGAAATACATGTTATTTCATCACGCATCAATAAGGAATTTATACTATAGAACATAATTCTTCTGCCGCTGCTGCCGCCTTGAACTACTTTTCTTTCACTAGTCTCTCTGCATTTATTAAAGTTAAGGATAAGTAGAGGTGGGAAACGAAACTGTATCTTAATTTTTAAAAATAATAATTAAGAGAGTTAAAAGATGCTTAATCAGTAATTGTAAAATCCCTAATACAAAGCCTAAATGACTATATAAATTTAAGAGAGTAGCCTCCATGGAATCCCTCACTCTCAAGTCTCAAGTCCTCCACTTATATATGAACACTCATCAATAATGAGAATCGTAATATCCTCTGGTGTACGCAAATTGATAAATATATTTCATCCTTATCTTGTTTGGTTGTGTTTTTGTATTTGAATTTTGATCTTGTCAATAGAGGCGGAGTCAAAACTAGAAGTTTGAGGTTCTAAATTTTAGCACAGGAGATTGATAGTGGGTTTGAACCCACATCACTAGTGTGAAAGATATTTCCATCGCACTTTCCTTACCACTTAGTTGTCAATCAATTGTTAGGGGATTCATCGTTTAATATACATATATATTTATTTAATGTTCTAATACAAATACAGAGTTTACAGAAAAGTTAATGGGTTTGTCCGAACCTACAAACCCCCACCTAGCTCCGCTTCTGATCTTGTGTCTCCGGAGTTTTACAAACTTTATATTTATCCAATAATATCAAATTCACAACCTTCCCAAACTGAGTTACATGTATTGGTCATGTCTCGAAAATGTTATTCAATCCTCATTATCAGATTGCTATAATCGATTATTCTTACCTCATATCACTACATCATTTATTTACCTACTCTAAATCGTTCTCTCCATACAACTTTATCCACAATTTGTTATTAGTTGTCATGCTATAGGGTATTGTTATTACATATTTACAAGTTAAATAATGTAAGTGTGACTTTAAAGGGTGTGTGGAAGGTTAAATTATTACGTAAGTCTAAACTTCTAGAAACAGAAAGCGTTGACATTATTCCTAAATCCAAATTTATACTCTATGCTAAATAAAAAAAAAAGGAAAGAAGGAGGAAAAACTCAAAAAGCCACCAGGCACCAGCTTTGACATTTTCTTGGTCAAATTTTGTCTACCCTTTTCGTAACTTTTGAGCTTCCAATATGATCCTTTATTCTTTCTGCACATAATTTAAATCTGCAGTCCGAAGAAAGACCACATTTTAACTATACATATATAATTCGGTGTTTTATCAACGCATTCAATTGCCAGTACTCTGTCCATTGTGAACAATATCTGAGGCAGGGGGAAATTAAACTACCTGATTCAAAGAGAGTTCAATTGAATCAAGTTCATCGTAAAATTATATTGTGCCATCTGAGTCTTCTAGCACACTGGCAAAGATGTTGGCTCAAAAATTGTTTTAGGTCGCAGGTTTGTATTTTTTTAAAAAAATTTCCTTGTTAGAATTTCTGAATCCGCGAGTGTGTGTTTTATCCATCCATGGGGGATTGGGTAATTGGAGCGTTGATCAATTTGTTAGGAAGTGTTTTCATCAACTTTGGAACTAACCTTCTTAAATTAGCTCATGATGAGAGAAATTTAAGGGCTAGGATGAAGCCCATTATATACTTCCAAGCATGGAGAATTGGTATTCTCTTCTTCACAATTGGAAATTGTCTCAATTTCATTTCATTTGGTTATGCTGCTCAATCACTTCTATCAGCTTTAGGATCTATACAATTCATCTCAAACATCGGGTTCGCGTACTTCGTGTTAAACAAAACAGTGACTATCAAATTACTGTTAGCCACTGCTTTTGTTGTTGCTGGAAACATTTTCCTTGTAGCCTTTGGTAATCACCAGTCCCCTGTTTACACAACAGAGCAATTGGGTGAAAATTACACAAACACTGTGTTTCTCGTGTACTGTATCAGTTTGGTCTTAGTTGTTATTTTCCATCATTCAATTTACAAAAGAGGAAAAGGGAAAATGCTGGTTCCATTTTCATATGCAGTTGTTTCTGGTGCTATTGGATCGTGTTCAGTATTGTTCGCGAAGTCTCTTTCAAACATGTTGAGATTGTCAATGTCATCGAGTGTTGATGGTGGTAGCGGTGGTGGTTATTCAACACTGCACAGTGGGTTCACGTATTCAATGCTCTTGATGTTTATAAGTACAGGTGGATTTTGGATGGCGAGGTTAAATGAAGGGCTATCGCGATTTGATGCAATACTTATTGTCCCTATGTTTCAAATTGCTTGGACGTTTTTCTCAATTTGTACTGGATTTGTCTACTTTGAGGAATACAAGGTGTTTGATGCTTTAAGAACAACTATGTTCGTTTTTGGAATGATTTCTGTGTTTGTTGGCATTTATTTGCTAGCACCGGAGGATGATGAAGTATTGAAGGATGGTTCTTTAGAAGTGAAGAGGCTTTTCATGCCATCTGATCAAATTAGGGATATAGAGATCATTTGGACGAGATATGCTGATGAAAACTGCTGATATGATTGGACTACGCGAGCGCCAGGTCATTGGTGTGTGGTGACGGACATGACAATGGCACAGGCAATTATCTGTCTCGTCGAAAAATTATATTGTGTATATAAAAGCAACTTTTGTGTATATATACATTGGTAATTTCCTTTTGATAGTAGTGAGGCTTCTATTGTAATTGGCAAAAGTAGCTTGAAATTTTGTTTTAGGTCGCTAATTAACTCATGAGGTACTACTGTATCTTTGCATTTCTTCCTCCTTATATATATGGAAAAAATAATCAACAATTCAGCCTTTACTTTTTCGTTCAATGTTTGCTATCTGTATTAGGGCCTGATAAAATCTTATCAATTCCTCGTCATAATATAGTGCTTTCAATCCATGACAATACTACTCATCTAATTCACTCGTTAGAAA